TTTACCAAAATACTCCCTAAATCCTTAGATTTCAAATGTGCAGAATAAGGTAATATATATGAGAAAGCATATCAGATATCTACAGCCCTACAATATTTCAGTTACACAGTATTGCTAGTAAAGCTTAACTGTCAGTAATGATTTGTTTTATTTCTATACCCATTGATCGATGTTAAATGGTGAAACAAATACCAAGGAAATAAAGATAGTTACTGGTCAATCATTTTTAGTTGGTATTTGGGTTTCACAAATAAGACTTTAGTGGTGAGAAAATGTGTGCAATGCTTTTACCAGGTATCTAGTATACAGGTGGCACTGGTGGTAAAGAATCCTCCTGCCAAAGCAGGTAGATGTAAAAGACGTGGAATCAATCCCCGGATTGGGAAGATTCCCTGGAGGAGGAAATGGCAACCCACTCCAGTATTCTTGCCTGGAGAATCCCATGGACAGAAGAGGCTTGCAGGCTACAATCTATAGGGTCGCACAGTGTTGGACACAACTGAAGTGACTTAGCACACACACAGTATATAGTATATTTACTATAAATACTTTCTTAGTATTCAAATATTGATGGTTTATTATGTGTTAGAAATCAAACTATTTTCTTTTTTTCCTCTCATTTCCCATCTGCCTCCTCAACCATCTTGAGAAGTAGGTATTGTTATCTTCATTTCACAGTTAAAAACATTGCATCTCAGAGATCAAGTGATTAAGTCAAGGCCACACAGTTAAAAGTAGTCCATCCAAGGCTATATTTTATGCCCTCTGAGTCCAGATCCAGAAGTCCTTTCCATATACCATGTGTAGTCACTTTTCATTCTCTTCACCATCTATTTATTTACTGTCAATTAAAATAACCATGCCCATAATTCTCATCCTGTCATATAATTTTATGTTCTTTAACTCTCAGCAAAATCCTCAGTATATTATTAACAGTAGACCTTCTAACCTCATTTTTGCTGAGGTCTCTGGACTACCTCCAACATTTTCTAGTCCTCCTTTCTTTTTTTCTCAACTTTGCCTACTACTGCAAAATGTTATCCCAATGAAGTGTGTTTAAAAAATTAGGTAAACATTAAACTTTTTGATGATTCAGGATCCCAGACAAAATCACACATTCACTCAACTTTATACTAGCCAGCCAGTTAATGGCTCTTGGGACCAAGTGAAGTGAAAGTCACTCAGTCGTGTCCAACTCTTTGTGACTCCATGGATTATACAGTCCATGGAATTCTCCAAGCCAGAATACTGGAGTGGGTAGCCGTTCCCTCCTCCAGGGGATCTTCCCAACCCAGGGATCGAACCCAGGTCTCCCACATTGCAGGCAGATTCGTTACTGTCTGAGCCACAAGGGAAGCCCTCTTGGGGCCAAAATAAACAGCAAATAGCTTGGGCCAGCCCTTGATTTCTACATGTGCCAGGCACGTTTCTGTGTGCATGTGTGCCTCTGTGTGTGAGTGTATATGTGTGTTATTTCTCTCATCCTCATGACCACTATATTCCAGATAAAGAAACCAGGGCTCAGAGCACTTTCCCCTGATCACAGAGCCAGCACATAACAGCGTCTGAACTCAAACCCTGACTGTGCCATTTGACTGTGCTCTCTGCTCTATAACAGAAACCCTCAAAGCAAAAGTGAAAGTCACTGAGTCGTGTTCGACTCTTTGCAACCCCACGGACTATACAGTCCATGCAATTCTCTAGGCCAGAATACTGGAGTGGGTAGCCTTTCCCTTCTCCAAGGGATCTTCTCAACCCACGGATTGAACCCAGGTCTCCTGCATTGCAGGCAGATTCTTTACCAGCTGAGCCACAAGGGAAGCCCAAGAATACTGGAGTGGGTAGCCTGTCCCTTCTCCAGGGAATCTTCCCAACCCAGGAATCCAACTGGGGTCTCCTGCATTGCAGATGGATTCCTTACCAACTGAGCTACCAGGGAAGTGAAATCCTCAAATACCTGTCCAAAAACCAAGTGATAGATCATCACAAAGTTTTCATTAGTCCACAGAAAAATAAAAATAGCACAATAAAGACATAGGAGGATGTGATCTGGGTCAGTATTATTGGCAAGAAACATCTTTTCTTCTGAGGTTATGTTCTTTCTGCCTTTTTTAGTATTAAAGTTTCTTTTTTTTAATGAAATGATGATGAAAATAGGTGATAGTTATTATTTTGATGGTTAATGGTAATGTTTTTATCTGGTAAAATGAGAAGTAAGTTAACCCTATGTTAACTGCGTAAGGCCATCTACACAGTGTCTATGTAAGAGGTCCAAAGGAAATACATATATTATCAGCTAATCTTAAAATGCAGGCTTCCTTAGTGGCACTGGCCCTGGATGGTAAAGAATCAACCTGCATTTCAGGGTTTGACCCTTGAGCCAGGAAGATCCCCTGGCGAAGGAAATGGTTACCCACTCCAACATCCCAGGACCACATGACTTATGTGTCAGAGTGACACTTTGGCATAGATTTTATTGATACTCTTTAAAAAGATACTCTTTGAAAAGCAGTTATAGGGTAAGAGACAAGAGGGCAGAGACGCAGGTTTCAGAAAGGGGGAGGAACTATTAAACACCTAAGTGGTAGGAGGGGTGAAGAAAAGAAAAATGATTTCACAGGTTTGCCAGAATTTTTGCCTATGTTTTTATAAACGTAATTGAAAATCAAAATTCTCAGCTGGATATTGCTTGTCCAAAATTTGTGCTGAAATTGTATTTACATATAATATTATTAGCTCCATTATCCTCTGAACAGATAGATATATAAGATTTTAGATGTCACCACTGCCCTTAGCAAACTAAGCCCACACATTAAAAAAAAAAAGAAAGAGAGATCACTTTTTCAAATCTATTGGATTTTTCTTTCTGTTGGATTCATAGTCATCATTTATTGAAAACTTATTCCATATTATTTAAATGGTTTTTCTATTCTCAAGAAAAGATCTTCACTTTCTCTTTTCATACTTTCCAGATTTCTCAGTATGAGCAGATCCCAATTTGTAATAGGTTTCCCTACAGATATTCTTTGGCCAGTCACTTGTTTGGAACTGAGAACACATTTTGCTATAAAATGATGTAAATGGTGATGAAGTTCTTAAAATCACTCATAAATGTTTAATGAACACAAGGATAAGGCATAGCTCTAATCATAATAGCTCAGCCCCTAATCCTTTATTTGGGGCAGACAGAAGAGGAAGAGGATATGAAATGCATTTTGCTATTTTTCCCTGAGCTTAGGGATCAACCTTAATCAAAGAATTCAAAATGTCACGTTCCCTGGTATCCCCCACCACATCTCTCTGTATGTCTACAGACATGCCAAACCCCTTTCGGTCACTTTGTTCTTCCCGTTTCATCCCTTGCCCCAAATATTTTAAGCATTAGAATTACCCTCCTCATTCCCTCCAGTCATAGCACCCATTTCCTCAATACAACTGCTTCAGGGAAGTGAGAGAAGAGAACCTAGTAAGCAGTGGTTAATACGTACACAATCGTACTTCCACTTTGAACAAGGGACTCTAGATTTCACACACTGGAACAGAGTGAACAGGAGCAATCCAAGCCGTGGGAGAGGCAATATGCCCAGCTGTCCTTTCCCTCCTCTCCTTCCCTCACCACAGTCCTGACACCTTGCAGCCCTCCTCCCGATAGCATAGACGTGCCCTGTCCCCACTCCTTACTGGCACTTCTGATGACAAACCATGGCGATGGTTTCCATTTTCATTTGTGTAACTCACATAGCTTGGGTTTCCCCTCGGCCTGCTGGAAGGTTCTAAGGACTCTCCTGGAAAGGGAGTTTGGACTTCTAGGAGTTAACTTCCACTCCTCCCCTCAACACCCAGCGAAGCATCTCAACCACAAGTCAGTTTCAACCTGAATACTTCCTTCCCGGGGTTTGACCCACTCAGGATCATGAGAGCTCTGTCCCCTGCCTGTGTAGTCATAGCAACATGAGAGGCACCTTTCAGGAGAAGGCGGTTGTGGTCTGCTGCCGCAGGAAACTCCCAGTGGCCCGGGCACCCGGAGAAACTGTTTGACCTTCCGGTGGGAAATGAGTAGGGCGTCCACCTAGAGAATGTCCCCACTGGGAGCTCCATGCTGATGAAGAAGGGGCTTTCTCACGCTTTAAATGAAGTCTTCTTGAAGGGAAGAGAGCCTTCTCTGCCTACATGCTGAGCTCATCAGAGTCATACTGGTTCATATGAGTCACCGTCTCTTTACAAGGGATAATTTAGAGAGGTACTAAAGAGATGTATTAACCAGTCTTTAGAGTTATCATTGCATGGTAGTTGGGAATTCAGAAAAAGAAACCTAATCTACTTTTTGATTAGTTGTGTAATCTTTCTAGGAAACAACTAGAATGTTTTAAAAGCAGAATATCTGTTATTCCAGACTTTCTCACTTCTTGTCTTTAGCTATTGATCATTCACACAGATGTTTCTTCATTCATTCATTCGTCATGCATCATTTGTTCAATCCCTTCTCTACAGAGCACAGAGCTCATTAATGAAAGCCTCCATGAAGGGCTTTCAACTATTTGGTGAGCCAGGAAATTCATACATGGAGAGTAAGAGAGAAAGAAATTACAATGGTAAAAAAAAAAAAAGCACTAAAAATAAGTGTAGATTTTCCATTGAAAAGCAGTAATTTTTAATTATAGAAATATCATCTTATAATTCTAAACAATGTAACTAAGTCTAAACAATATATCTGGCAATTTGCTAAAGAAAATGTTTAGAGAAAATGACTCCCAAACTAGTGGCCAAGAATCGCTGCAAAATGGGAAAGTAATGGCAGAATGTGTGTGTGTGAGAGAGAGAAAAAGAAACAGAGAGACAGGGAAACAGAGATAGACACAGAAAAACAGAGAAACAGAGAGAGCAAGATCTAGAGTAAAGCATAAGTCAGCCCTGGCTAAATACACCTGACTAGCGTGGTGCCCTCTACAATCAATGAATACCTCATGTTTACATTTTTTATGAAATAATATTTCTTACAGTTATGATGAGCGAAAAAGGAAAATGGAAAAAGACTATCCGAAGAGTACTGAAGAAGAATTTTCAGGAGTCAATGGCCAAATAGATGCGGCTGTAGAATTAAACGGTGAGTGTTTCCATAGAACACTTTCTTTGTAGAAATTGTTTTAACATAACTGAAAGTGGATTTCAGAATGGGAGTCCTTGGTTCTTATTTTTTGGGGCCCTGAGTCCCTTATAAATTTAGTTAACCAGATTAACCATCAGAAAGAGTATAAAAAGTCTGCCATTATGGGTCTCTCTTTACGAATGCAAAGTTTTAAAAGTATAGCTTCAGTCCATTAGCCAGTTACATCATAAAGGCCATCCAGTCAAAATTACCTTTTTCATCTTTAAAATGTACATATTCTCAACCTTCCCACTGAGAATAAATGCCTTTCCCCATTCTGTCACCCAACTTCTGAAATTTGACACATAGCTGTGAAAGTTGAATTGAACTGGGTTGAATAAGTTTAATTGAATCTTTGAATCAGTCAGTCAACACATTCGTCTTGAGTGTTTAGCACGGAGCTGGACACTGTCGAGAAATGCAAAGGCAACTTTGGAATGGTTACTCTCTTTGGGAAATGCCCCTCCATCCAATGCAGGTGAAATTACTAGAGATCAAGACAATCTATAATTTAGTACTGAATTGGGTGGTAGTCTTCCCAGTAATTGCAAGAGGTGATCTGAGAAAGAAAAGATCAAAACAAACATCAGTTGGTGTAGATTTCGTGGTGGGACTTCTGCCGGATTTTAATGAATGGCTAGTTTTTTAACTCGGGAAAGCAGAAGTGGGGGATGGATTTCCCCGATGGGAGCAGCCTGAGGAGAGGCACAAAGCGCCCCTGCATGGCAGAGAGAATGATGAGAGATGACTGGCAAACCAGGGATGTCAGATTCCAGGGCTCAGAGATAGCTGGGCTGAGGGTTAGCCAGCTGCCCCCTGGCACATTCCCTGTTTCTCTTTGGTGCCCCCTCGAGAAAGTTAAAACTGCAAGGCCATCCCATTTATAAATTTTCAAGTCATTTTCAGTAACCATGATTTCAACTTTGTCTCTTTTAGGCTACATTTACTTCTTTTCAGGACCCAAAGCATACAAATATGATACAGAGAAGGAAGATGTGGTTAGTGTGCTGAAATCTAGTTCCTGGATTGGTTGCTAAATAGCAAAGTCTAGTCTTTCCTAAAGAATGAAGATGACTGAGAGCTGGATCTGAGGACTGGATCTTAAGGACTAAATCAGAACTCAGGTTACGTATTCTTCCCGTGGCCTTCAATTCTAAGGGTAATCTCGAATTCATTGAAAATAATTATGCTTCTAAACAGTTTCTCAGTTTTGGATTCAGAACTTTAAACCAAATGGGAAATTATTATATGATCAGCTTCATGCAAAATCAAAATCAACATGGTGCAACTCTTCTGCTAGATATGCATCATTTTTTTCCTCACTGAGGCAAATTGATCAATTTGGTTTTTATTTCCAGGAAGAAGCCTATTTGTGGATTTTCTAACATGTATTATAATTCTTTTAGTAGGAAATAGCGTTACCACACAAATTATATTAATTCTAAACAAGCCTTTTTTGTCTTAACATTTGTTATGATAAATATAAATGTATCCGTCATTAACCATATCACAGATTACATACTGTATAAGTTTTGTTTCTCACTGTTTGTGTGTGTGTTTGTTTGTTTGTTTGACTCTATGTGTGCTCACTGGTCTTTGAAGTAGGTTATAATGCGCAAATCTACTCAAATGGATTCTTATACTAGGTAAGAGATGGGCATTTTGCAACAACAAGAAAATTTTTAACAGAAGCCAATAAAAATGTTGTATAAGATCAATCCAGTATTTCTATTTAGTTAATGGTTACTAGCTTCTATCACACTTTGATAACAAATTCTGTGTACTTTATAGAAAACTCAAACCTTGAGATAGTATCATGAATACTCAGACTTAAATAATAGTAGTTCACTGTTTTTCCTCCTTCCTGAAAATAAAATGCCCTCAGTGAAACTGTCTTTAACCCTTCTAAGAGGGCCTCTTCTGACTAGCTTTTCATTTGGGGAAGTTTGTCTTTTGCTTTAGTTTTTCTTATTCCAAGCTAAATTTTTTTTTTCTACCTAGTCATTAGTATAGATAAAATACAGCTGTCATTCTTATTTTTTTATCTTATATTTTAGTAGTTCTACTTTAAAATATTGATAAATTAAATTGAAGATGATTCAAGATGATTCAAAGAAATGGAAAAATATCCCATATTCATAGATTGGAAGGATTATTATTAATATTATTAAATATATTAAAATTAATATAATTAAAATGTGTTGGGCCCTACCCAACACAAACTATAGATTTAATGCAATCCCTATCAAATTACCCATGACATTTTTCACAAAACTAGAACAAATAATCTTAAAATTTATATAGAACCATGGAAGACCCAGAATTGCCAAAGCAATCCTGAGGAAAAAAAATAAAGCTAGAGGCATAACCCTCCCAGACTTCAGAAAATACTCCAAAGCCACAGGAATCAAGACAGCAGGGTACTGGCACAAAGACAGAGGTATGGATCAATGGAACAGAATAGAAAGTCTAGAAATAAACCCACACACCTACAGTCAATTAATCTTTGTCGAGATAAGAATATACAATGGAGTAAAGAAAGTCTCTTCAGCAAGTAGTGTTGGGAAAGCTAGACAACCACATATAAATCAATGATGTTAGAATACTTCCTCACACCCTACGGGATTCCCTAATAGCTCAGTTGGTAAAGAATCTGCCTGCAATGTGGGAGACCCCAGTTGGATTGCTGGGTTGGGAAGATCCCCTGGAGAAGGGATAGGCTACCTATTCCAGTATTCTTGGGCTTCCCTTGTGGCTCAGCTGGTAAAGAATCTACCTGCAATATGGGAGACCTGGGTTCAATCCCTGAGTTGGGAAGATCCCTTGGAGAAGGGAAAGGCTACCCACTCCAGTATTCTGGCCTGGAGAATTCCATGGACCTTATAGTCCATGGGGTCGCAGAGTCAGACATGACTGAGCGACTTTCACTTTCACACCCTACACAAAAGTAAACTCAAAATGGCTTAAAGACTTAATTAAATATAAGATATGACACTATAAAACTTCTAGAAGAGAAAACATAGGCAAAATATTCTCTTACATAAATCATAGCAACATTTTCTTAGTTCAGTCTCTCAAAGAAATAGAAATAAAAGCAAGAATAATCAAATGGGACCTAATCAAACTTGTAAGTTTTTGCACAGCAAAGGAAGCCATAACAAACAAAAGGACAACTAGCAGACTGGGAGAAAATACACAAACAATGAGACCTGACAAGGGCTTAATTTGCAAAATATACAAACCGCTCATATGACTCAATAACAAAGAAACAGAACCAAATCAAAAAAATGAACAGGAGGCTTAAATAGACATGTCTCCAAAGAAGACATACAGATTGCCAATAAAACTGCTCAACTTCTCTGATTAATAGAGAAATGCAAATCAAAACTACAATAAGCTATCACTTCACACAGGTCAGAATGACCATCATTAAAAGTCTATAAACAATAAATGCTGAAGAAAGTGTGGAGAAAAGAGAACATTCCTACATTGTTGGTGGGAATGTAAGTTGGTGCAGCCACTAGGAAAAACAACATAGAGGTTCCTCAAAAAACTAAAAATAGAGTTGCCATATGATCCGGCAATCCCACTCCTGGGCATATATCTGGAGAAAACTCTAATTTAAAAAGACTTATGCAATCCACTGTTTATAGTAGCAATATTCACAATAGCCAACACATGGAAGCAGCCTAAATGTCCACCAACAGATGAATGGATAAAGAAGATATAAACATACAATGGAATACCACTAGGCTATAAAAGAATGAAGTAATGCCATTTGCAGCAACGTGGTTGGACCTAGAGATTATCACACTAAGTGAAATAAGTCAGAAGGAGAAAGACAAATATCTCACGATATCACTTATATGTGGAATATAAAATATGATACAAATGAATTTATTTACAAAACAGGAACAGACTCACAGACATAGAAAACAAGCTTATGGTTAAAAGGCAGGGGAAGGATAAATTAGGAGTTTGGGATTAGCAGCTATGAACAAATATTTATAAAATAGATAAACAGCAAGGCCCTGCTATATAGTATAGGGAATTATATTCAATATCCTGTAATAAACCATAATGAAACCATAATAAACCATAATGAAAACAGATATGAAAAATAATATGTAATACTTATCTGTATAAAACTGAACCACTTTGCTGTACATCAGAATTTAATACAACATTGTAAATCAACTATACTTCAGATTTTTTTAAAATGTGACTCAGGGAACTCAAACAGGGGCTCTGTGACAGGCTGAAGGGTGGGATGAAGAGGGAGGTGGGAGGGAGGTTCAGGAGGAAGGGGACATGGGTGTACCTATGCTGATTCTTGTTGATATATGACAGAAAACCACAAAATTCAGTAAAGCAATTATCCTTCAATTAAAAAAATGTTTGTAAAAAGTAGCTCTAAAATTAGATGATAAAATATAGTTAGCATATTTCATAGACTGCCAGGAACAGCTACAGTATTCAGTAGATACTAGTTATAATTTTACTATTTATTAAATTTGTTTCATATGCTTACTAAAAAGACTTAATAGTAAGAAGAGATGGGACAATTACTCAAGGGTACTCTAAACTTTCCATTTGGTTTCCACTACTGAAAGTGGCTATTTACAGCCAACCAGATATTAAATATTTGCCTGTTGATGACAAAATCTCATATCCCTGATTTCCAATGCCAACTGACTCTACAGAGTAAAAAAAGTCACTTTTGCAAAAACGGTCAGCTGAGGAAAACCTAATACGCAAGAAGGGAAGACAGTCTGGCATCTCCTCAAAACACAGAACATAGAAATCCTACATAACCCAGCAATTGCACTCCTAGGTGGTAGTGGTGGTGTTTGGCTGCTAAGTTGTGTCTGACTCTTTTGCAACCGCATGGACTGAAAACCGCCAGGCTCCAAATAGGTATATACCTATGAGAATTGGAAATATATGTCCACACAAAAATGTGCACATAAAGATTCACAGCAGCATTATTCATAATAGCCAAAAAGTGGAAACGCAGGCATCAAATGATGAATGGACTTTTTAAACCTGGAAAATTCACATATTGGAGTGTTATTTGACAATTAAAAAAATACTGATACATATTACAATATGAATTAAATTTGAAAACATTATGCTAAGTGAAAAAAGTCACACACATAAGGCATTGATATGCACAGAAGGCAGAGAATATTGCATGATTCCATATGTATGAGATGTTCAGAGATGCAGGAAACTAATCTGCTTGTCAGGAGCTGGAGAGAGGCAGCGTGGATGTGACTGCTAACATGTGTGACCTGCAAAAGGTGATGGTTGCACAAATCTGTGAATATACTGAAAGCCATTAAATTGTACACCATAAGTGAATGGATTGTATGGTATGTGAATTATATCTCAATAAACCTGTTATATTTTTTGAAATAATTAAGCTAGGAAATGAAGGTAGTGTGATGATGTGTGCAGGCTGTGCCGGCTGACCAGCTGTGGCTGGGAACCCACAGCAGTGAAGCTTTGGCCTGAAGGCGTGTACTGCTGAGCACAACCCCCATGGTGTCCGCCTCGTGGCCAATGCTAGCCCTGTGCGTGTCCATTGTAGACTCTTCACCAAATAAATGAATGTTACTCCGTGCAAAATGCATGTGCTCTGAGGCCTGCCTGACTGAATTCAAACCCCAGATCTAAAAAAAAAAAAGAAAAAAAGAAACCCAGATCTGTCATCTTTTTTGTGATATTGGTCAAGATCCCTAATTTCTGTCTTAGTTTCCTCCTTTGTAAAATTACAGTAAGAATAATTCTTACCTCATTGGGATATTTAGAGGCTTAAATATCTAAGTCAAAATATGTGGTCTAGATAGCCCATATAAGGGCTCTAAAACCATTGCTTTTGAAGCAATTAGAATTAATTTTCTTTTGAGATATTTTAGAGAATTTGTAAATATTCCTTGAGATAGCTAAGCAATAGTACCACAAAGATTGATAACCAGAGACCTGAAATTTTTCTTTCCCAAATTCCAAATTGAATTAATAATCAAATGATATA